GGGGCATCGTTCGCGAATGAATTCCTCTAAGAGGGAACCCATAACGGCGCTTGAACCTTGCGGCAGGGAGGTGTGTGCCTAAAACTAACAACTACTTCACCTGCGCTTTAGGTGCGCTAGGGTGGGTACCTAACTGTCGGCTATCGCAACAAGCACACAGTTATTAAATAAAACAATGCCGCCTCTGAGGCGAGAAGTGTGTATGGAATTCTACTTACAGAACAGGAACCTGCCTACGAGCACAACACTACACTAACACTCGCTAATGTTGTATGATTTTACAGGACGTGTTTTCGAAATATAATGAAATTAAAATTTATTTCAAACCAATAAAGAATAGTTTAAAGCGCTGATTTAAAGTCTGTCAGTCTGGCAGTCTTATAGTTTGGTAATTTAAAAATTACAAAATGCATGATATTATTATTAAAAAGTTCTGCAGTTGTTGGTAGGTATAGTAAACAAAAATGACTCATAAAAACAATTAAATGGGTGATTACATAAATAAAGCGCATTAGGTTACGTGTGGGCTAAATGCCCACACGAATCGTTTAAGTCGGTAAGAAATCTTATTCTCAGCAATTCTATAAACAATGAAGGGAGAAAATGTATTCGTCGTATATTCAGCGAGTAACGTAAAAAAGGAAAATTATATAAGTAAGAGATTTCCACCGAAAATTGACTCACGATATCTCTGGAACCATAAAGCGTAGAGACTTGAAATTTAATAGGAATATTCCTTACGTTGAGTAAAGGTCAACTACGAACGGATTTTTACGAAATTCCTCAAAACAACGTTTGGCGGATCAGCTAGTTTCTCATAATTATATATTTCGTATACAGCGTGTCGTTACCATCGCGACAATAAATGAGCACACGTCTATCGCTACTTGCCAATAATCATAAAAAAATATTAACGTTAAACAAAATCCATAATTAAAAAAAAATTTTTCAAACAAACTAATTAAGTAAAAAAGAAACAAAATTTGTAACACCTATAGGTGTTACACCTTTTATAAAACTCGCGCCACAGCGTCGTATTACAAGCCTCTCCTTCTAACAGTATGTTTTGTCTCTTTTAAATTCATTCAACCCATTCATATGCTTTGTGACCTTTGCAAATGAACTTTACGTTCCGCTTTTATAGATAAGGGTGTTCTAAAATTCTTTGTTTTGGAAAATTTCATAACTCTGTAAATATTGATGTTAAAAGAATTTAAATGTTTAATACAACTTTAAAAAGTTATCCCCTATATGTGTGTTCATTTATTGTCGCGATGGTAACGACACGCTGTATAATATGTGCATGTATAGATTGTGCTTTGTGGTAGTCTGTGGGGGAGGCATATGTTAGAACTTTGACTTTCGCTTTGATTGATGGAATAAAATTAAACAAATGATACGTTACGAAAATGATAGGTAAGTTTTGTTAAAAATAATAGTGAAACGAAATTTGCATTTGCAAGAAAAGATAAATGAAGCAAAAATTCTTTAACGGCCCACTCCCTCTAACGAATGTTTACCTCTCTTTTCAATTAAACTGACCATCCGATATATCAGCTCCCTGTGAACTGCCAAACTATTTATCTAACAATCTAACTGCTAGAATTAATGACCATTTATTTATTATACGTATTTTTGTACTTATTTTGTAGGATAAAAGAACCGGCCAATTGTTTTTTTTAATACTGTTGATGTTTCACTGTCGCGCTGATTTACCAACGTCCAATAATAAAATAAGCCCCCAGTTTTGTTTTTCCACTGATCATAATAACCTGCCAAATTCTGTTTAGAAAAGTCGACTTTAAAAAAATATTTGCCATAGTAATTTCCTTCTAGTTTTTTTTATAAAAGTCCACATAAAGACCAGAATGTCGGATTAGTGTAATAGATGATTAAGGTATTACTCATTATCGATATAGTGTTCGCAGTATACTGAACCTATTTGTGATAAGTAAATTCATCATAACACTCATCTTTATTCATCGCCATTAATCGTTAGTCGAAGCGTTATTTATAAAATTATCTTTAAAATAAAAATGGATATGAGTGATAATTATTTATATCTTAAAGGAATGTATTATATTATTATATACCTAATGGTAGGTACGTAAAAAGTGAAGGGTATAGATTCTTATATGGTGACGCATCGTCATCCTCCTGCCCTTATCCCACCTAGTTGGGGTCGGCACTACATTCGAAACATGTTGTAAGCGGTTTTGACTGGTTTTTCAACCGGCCGGCCACCTGCCTGACATCAACCCTCCTTAGGAAACAAACACACAGATCTGAAACAATTGTCTGTGGCTCCTCCAAATACTCACCCCGTGTGGGAAACGAACCCGCATTTCATATCTTGGGTTCGAATTTCACCAGCGTGCCCCAGTGACCTTTTGGATTTCTTAAATTTATACATAGGACTTAGCATGGGAAATAGTGGACAACTTAGCCTGTTTGGTATATACGCTATAAACACTTTAAATTTGTAAGTTATTTTGAAATATGAGTTTTCGAAGTAGCGCTAAAAACTTTTAAAAAGCGGTAGAATCAAGTAGCGCAACGGCTACTTTTCGCGTCGCTATTTTTGTTAATCCCAAATGTTTTTCCTCATTCATCGCACAAAACTAACAACGCCCAACGTTCGTGTTAGTGTTTGCTTTACGTCGATATTCTGAGAATTTTACCAAGGCCATCAATAGTATTATCGGTAGGTGCTCGTCGACTCAAACGAAGCACATTTCGTTTTATATTTCGTGTAGTATCGTTTCATAATGATTTTTCTAGCTTATTATTTTAAGTTCTTTGTAAAATATGAAAATCCTTTAAAAAGTAGTTTATTTTTAGACTTAAAACTCTACATTTGTTAATCCGGCGTACATTTAAGATGCAACTATATTTCTACTCGGTTTTTATTTGACAAATTCCAGGTTTTTGCACCCGTAGCACGTGAGCGTGTGCTCGTGATGTTTAGTGATTCCCACCGCCTATGGACATCTGCAATCTGGGTTCCAGAGGCGCGGCCAAGTATTATAAAAGTGGGCCCCGGTTACGTCACTCTCAGACAAAACGGGAAAATATATAAATACATACTTCTAATTTACTTCAATTCAGGTCGTCTTCTGTGAGGACGCGGTACTCACCCGGATGAGACTAACCATTTGTACAACAGCAGCGTGGCATAAGTGCTTGAAATAAATTTAATAAAGACACCGAAGTTTGCCATAGAATTATGACTCGGCGGCGCCGTTGATAAGATATTGATTGCGGCATCGGAGGTCGTGGGTTCGATTCCCACACGGGACAAGTATTTGTGTGGCCCACAGATAATTGTACCGGATCTGGGTCTTCACATTCCAAGTGCAATGATTCATGATAAACTAATAAGAAATTTATTTTACTATAGTCTATAAGTACGGTACACAAATTCTGAAACTAATCAATATTGACTACGACTACCTAAATATTTCAAATATTTAGGTGCTTAATCAAGAAGTTTATATTATCTACTGATAATAGACCAAGGTACAATACTCATGTACTCACAAAATATTTTGTAAACACAATAATAATTTTAAAATTTTTCGCTTCCCTATCAATTGTCATCATCTCCTTTGTATGTAGCCCATATGACTGTTCTTTTATGTAACATGAGAAGAGCGAGAAACGGATGGGAAGCTGTGAAATCTACTCCAAGAGATTCTGCCATCCGCAACACTAAAGTTCCTGTTGACCTCAATTTCCTTAGTAACGCTGTTGGTGAAGAACTATCTAAAATCCTTGTCGGTTTAATTTGTCAACTTTACTTGTATAGATAAGATATACAAATTAAGCCAAGAGTTATGTATCCATTGTGAAGAAGCAGGCGTAATTTTTAATTTCTTACTAATTTTATTTAATTAAAACTTGCATATTAATTGTATCGGCATATCTGCTTATCTTTTTTTTTGTTGGCGTATCAAATAAATCTTTAAAAAAAGATAAATGTTTTAGGTGAAGGTATTTTCATGTAGCATTTTATGATAGCGCTAGGCTGCAGATAAGCTTATTACGACAGATAAAACTAGTTTTTGGATACTTCCCAATTTTTCTGTTTAAATCATTTATAGCAGCATAGTTTATGCTCCCGCCGGATAACACTATACCCACAGTTAGTGCAACAACAAACACACTAGTTCACCCTCGCCTCCGAGCACGGCGAGACCAACACAACGCGTACAAAAGGTACACCAGGGCGGTTCTCACCGCCCCCAGCCACCGATTAGCTAATTGCACAGTCGATGGCCATCGGGGTTTCGGTCCGAACCGCGACCTCGATGGCCCTTAGATGACACACCATAGTTAAACGCACGCATGAGCCCATGCGTGGCCCTACCCACAGCGGAGGGCCCAAACCCGTGGGTTCTGGCTAGCCCACCGGTTCTGCGTCAGATGAAGCTTTAATAGTCTCGGGACTGAAAGCAAAAACATCAGTTAATACAAGATACAAGAAGATAGTTTATGGTGTAAAAAAAAGCATATTTAGTGTGAAAATAAATATTTATTAATTAATTTTATAAACGCAAATAGAATATGATTTTCTTGATAAGATAATAAATGCATAAGCAATAACAATTAAAAGTATGGTATTAAAAAACGTTATAAATATGTCATAAATTTCACAAAATAGTTTTGTGTCAACATTCTTCTTTATCAACTCGGTAACATTCTTGTTTATTTATAAACACATTTTATTGAAAAGTACAAATATACATATACTAGAAGGAACCTTTAAACTGTATGCAAAAATTACTCTTAACAATTCATAAATTATTACATAAAAAACGGTTGTACATTGTTAATATAGTCTATACAAAACAAGCAAGATATTCATCTAAAAGAAGTTAGCAAACGATTAAAATAGTTGTCATTACGTTTGTCATGTCGTATAAAAATGGCGGCAAAAAAATAACCACAACATAAACAGCGCCGAATGCTTGATGCCATTTGCTTCAGATTCGATTTTAGCAATCACCTCTATGCATAGCCATAAAATACGGGTTGTTCTCAACAAGAATGATCGTTAGGAAAGGCCTGTCCGCTATGAATCGAGGCACGGGAGGTTCGTCGAGGATAGCGGAGCAGAACGCGATGCCCATTGCTGTAATATAAACACCTATGTGAGCAAACACATCGAGAATATCTTTTTTTATTCAGCCAGTGGCAGACAATTCTGCAACCTGTTGGACGAAACAATCACAACGGATTAACATTCAGACAATCTCCAATCCACGCGTAACCGGATTTTGCGATAGCAGCGATAAGTCCGATGATCAAATCAAGTGATTAGTGAAGGAACGACATTTTTACTACAACACGTAAGCACACTGTATTTTAAAAATATTCATCAAACGAATTAAGGGAACAGATAATGAAAATTTTTAAATGAATCGTTAGCAACAGACACGACAAACGTAATTTAATAAATGTTATACATTGCTTTGTGATGATTTCATGTCCCGTGCCCACTATGCCGGACCGTATGTTTCGCCGGGGCGTAAAAAATACCAAAAATGCGATAACGACAATTTGTATGAATCCGTTCGCAATTAGACGGATCCGGAATATAAGCCTAATTCTAACTTTGGACGGACATTTTATCAGAGAACCAAGGTACAGACTTATCGTTTAAAGACATCGTAAAAAGTAACAATGTACCCAATATTTTCTTCCTCCACTGAATCTTAAATACCACTGTAATTAAAGTGCACCGATATCGATAGAAATGAATCTACCTAAGTATCTATAAATTATTATATCGGATCGGCCTAATAGCGAACAAGTTTTTCGGGCCCGTCCGGATTAGCGGGCGCGTGTTGGGCGTAAAGCGTAAGACACAAGTTTCGACACGTCAATGGTAAATGCAATGGGGAACGGTTTGCTTAGGCCGTGGCCCGGTATACGCCGATAAAGATCTCATTGTGCTGAGAGTCGACGAGCATGTAGACGAAGGGGTGGTTGGCGTAGAAGCTCGGCGATGGCGGGCGCGCGCACCTCAGCATGATCACCATGCCTGCGTCACAGAGAATTCGATGCAAGCGCTTACACAACTCCTTACCTCAGCTCTGCCTTTAATTTGGAATTTAAATCGTCTAAGATTTTTCGAATTCGATACCTCTCCCAAATACTATCACCAGATGAAATAATTAATACGCACGAAACATTGACAGTCACATTTAACAAACACACTTTTATCGCGGTGTTACGTAGCAAATTACCAATGAGCCAACCAATTACGATGAAATTTTAAGACAAGGCATTTTCTTTTTACAAAACATTTTGCAGTGTACTTCAGATTTTCGTCGATGGTCTATGTGACACAACACTGTTAAGAGATACTGTATCAAAACAGATGCGCAACGATCGCACGCGTCGCCAACCATAAGCCGTACAGTGTACGTACTGGGGGAGGGAGGGGGGCTAACTTGCCGGCCCGTTACTTCGAGCTCGACGGTGACCGCTACAGGTCGACGCGCGGCGTGTGTGACGGTCGGGGACGGTAGGCCGCTACCATCGTCGGCGCGCCGGAGGCCAGCACGCACCACAACGCCGGCCGCGACGCCTTGAACACCCGGCTACGCGGCTTCAGCGCGCGCTTCGTCCGCTTCACCATCGCTGACCACACGTATAGCACCACAAATCGAGTAGCGTTCGAAATTTAAATGCGCGAACAGAAATCATCGCGCAGTACAGTTACGAACAACGTTGGTGTTCGGTTTTATTAACAGGTCATATATATTTTTTTATGTTTGCACTCGACAGTACATAGGTACGGATCAACCGGGCGCATTTAAGTTTCGCAATACTTTTACAATGACCGCAAACAGCCATCACCGAACAGCCATCACCGAACCCATGCACGTTACACAGCACAAATCGCACAATAAGCTGAAAGCCTAATGAATTTCCGATTCCGTAGCATACAGTAAAAGTTAATAAAAAATTGGATTAACCCTCCCTTGTGTTTGTTTGAAATAACTATTAGAGGTTTTAGATGCAGGAATGTTTGAAGTATTGCACGCTTTACATCAATCATGATCATACATACAAACAAATTGAGTAATTTGACATTCTAATTATTAACATCAAACCTATCTCAGCTTGATAAAGTATATTAATTATTTACATACTTACGTTATTTCTGTGGGAACTCGTAATGTTTAGAATGACAGTGTTTTACGATAATTTGCAGAAATATAATGGATGCATCAAATATGAACTTACCAGTAGCTGCGGCAGCCTCTGCGCCTTCCTCATTGACTTCGATAAAGGCTTTTTGTACAGCCTTTGATACATACAACCTTTCTTCAACATTTAAGATCTTATTGAGTCCTGACTTGTCAGGATTAAAGATTGCCTTTATTCCAAGCTGTAAAACATTTCGTACTAGTTTTATGAAATGAAAATACCAAAAAATTATTTTTATTTTTACAATTCCTATAAAACCTTCGTATCTAAAGCCTACTCTTTCTTTAGATTATTTCTAACTAGCGACCCGTCCCGTCTTCGCACGGGTGCAATGTATTATACATATGAAACTTTCTTTTGAATCACTCTATCTAGTAAAAAAGACCGCAGCAAAATCCGTTCCGTGGTTTTAAAGATCTAAGCATACATAGGGACAGACAGACGGCAGGACGACTTTGTTTTATACTATGTATACACAGCAAAGAGACTGTGCATCACTACATAGTATAAAACAAAGTCGTCCCGCTGATTTACATTTCAAGTGAAATTTTACCACACTCACTCACTTGTTTTGCCTTCCCGGAACCCCTCCACTAATACTTGAACTTTATGGTATCGTATTAAAGTTCAAATTAACTTTTAAGTATTATTAAGAATATTTTGTACGGGAATATAGAAGTGTTTTTTTAGACTTTTGCAGGCGATTTTTTTAATTTTTCTCTCCTCGTACTTCAAGGAATATTATAAAAAAGAATTAGCGAAATCGGTTCAACTGTTCTCGAGGTTTGTGCTTAGCAACACATTCAGCGATTCATTTTTATACATAGAGATGAATAGAATTTAAGATAAATAGAATTTCTAGAATTTAGATTCGAACAAAAAATATTTTTATCTCATGTTGAGATTGACCTTGGCTGCTAGCGAAATTACTGGAGTGAACGTTATATTACGACTAAAATACCTTTGGCAGCAGTTCAGCCAAGTCAATCTCGGTCTCAATCTTGAACTTGGGAATTGTGACTTGCACTTTGGTGGAGAACATCTTCTCCACTTCGCCCATAAGGTCATAGCCATTGGCCAATTTTTCCAACACGCCATTAAGACCGCTGATCTCGTTAGGTAGGACGATCAACATGCTGGCATCCTCGCCCACATAATGCATTTTAAGAAGCTAAAACGTGAGACGTTTGAGATTAAATTTATTCCAATCTGGCCTAAGCAAGAGATAACAAAATTGTTCAAATGTCAACATTAGTAATCAATGGAGCCTTGGACATTTGATCAAACAATAGAAACTGTAAAGTGTTAAGTGTGTTATTGTTACGCATATGGCTTTCTCATATATGTCACTATTATTATGATTTTTAGAATGTCTTTGTGTAAGCGTATACGTCATACATATGAACGTATTACGTTATTATTTGCCATGACTATCACAATTAGTGAGACAAAATATCAAAAATGTAATTTAGCTTCATCAAAAATCTTGTCAGTATGAAAAATATCAATTGTTTTATACATGACTTTTTTAATAGTTTTAAATCTTAATAACTCAAACCTATGTATATATGTGCCTTCAAGGTCTTAAAATGAAGTGAATTTTTAAAATCTGACTCATATGAACACTCACAGATGTTTGTTATTATTATCCACTTGCATGGAGTGGTTTGGCAACTATTTTGTTTGAGCTATTTTATCTTTTATAAACAATACTTTTTTTTAAATGTGTAAATGTTAGTTTTGAAAATTGTTTTATCTGAAACTTAATAACAAGTGAATAGAAATGATACCTGTGCCCCGAGTTCCTCACTCTCTCCATATAAGAATTCATCTTCCTTATACATCATTGGTACCATGACTGTCTTCTCTTCATCTATGTGGAAAGGTTGATCTATTGTATTTGCTGGATCAAATTGTTTTTTCCATGTTCCCTGAAAATATGGTTAGAATGTACCTATGTCGAAGTGATAGCTCTTATCAAATTGACATGTTATGGTATTTGTAACAATAAATATAGCATAAGTTTACAAATACTTTACCTTAAAATACAAAGCATTTACAAGTACCAATCTGGTATCACTACTAAGACAGTCTCTAGAGAGAAGATCTTTGATTTTCTCATTGGTTTTGCTTTCAACCTGCAATTAAAAGATTTTTTTCAGTTTCTTTCAAATGTTACTTTTATAGATTTCCTGTTTTGGTTAGTAAAACGGAAATAGGAAAAAATTATATAAAAATATTTAAAGCAAATATTGGCCCTGATATAATCAGGATTCTCAACTCAGTTTTTCAGTCTTTTGAAATCTTATTTCAGTTTATAAGCATGCTCAGTTTGCAGATTTATATGGAATGAGTTATTTAAAAATATTAATATTAATAGCATACACTGGCATCATTTATGATAACATATTATTTACCATGCACTCTGGTCTAATTATCATTCAGTCTAATCTCATATACAGATATAATGTTTGTGATAATTTTAATAATCAATCACAAAAAAACACTATCTAAAAACTAAAACTTTTTTTTATGTTCATGTTACAGTTTTTTTATTGGTGCAATTTTTTTTTTTTTAAAAAACATTGCCCTTACTTTAGGATAACATTATCCTGTGTTTTACAAACATAAATTTCACGCAGACAAACACCCACCCGAAACAACTTCCTGTGGGTTACACAAATAGTTGTCCCATGTGGGAATCGAACCCACGACCCCCGACGCCGAAGCCAATACCTTGGCAACTGTGCCACGGAGTCATCAAACTAATTGAAACTATAACATTAATTTCTTTAATGTTCTTTTAAATAAAGCAGAAATTGTTAGTTGTATCCCACAAGCCATACACATGTGAAATAAAAATCTAGCTGATTATACACTGAATAATGCATGGTTAAGGAAATCATTTTTTATTATTACCCATTTATTAATTAGATCAGCAGCAGCGGGACCATCATCAAAATTAACTTTCTCAAAGGCAGCATCAAATACAGTGATGGCGTCATCTTTCAATTTAGGTTCAAGATCATAGCTACCATCCTTTATGTACACCTTGTTTGCTACATTCAATGTCACACCTTTGATTGATTTTAATTTTGTAGAAACCACAGTAAATGATGAACGGATCTGCAACATAAATTAAGCAAAGATAATGTAGACATTGTTAAATTAAACATAATAAGAATTTAATTTTCAACATGACTCCAAAATGTTCAATATTCTTCAGAAAATAATTTATTTAAAGTTTTCAAGAGCTTATGAATAAATTATTAAAATCAACCGCACATTATAATGATTCTATACTTAACTTTAAGAAAAACAATGTATTCTTACTCAAGTGCAATTATTAATTAATACTATTAGTCACTTCTTTATAAAATGTAACCAAAAATTGTAAATACTTACAGATTCATCATCTGCAATTCCAAGGGTGGTTAGTAATTCCTCATGTGCCGGGTCTGTTGCACCCAGAGCTATAAGGGCCAATACAAATTCTGCAGATAGAGGCGACGAAACCACACTTTTATTTTTGTCTAGTTCCTAAAAAAACATTTAACAATAATAATAAATAAGACAAGACACAATACAATTAATAAATTCAATTCAGTTAGAACAGATAAAATTTTAAGATTAGACTAAGATTATTTATCAAATTACCTACTAAATGAAATATATGGTTATAATTAACGCTTACGATGAATATAAAAAAAATTATATATGCATTAATAAAATCCAAAAATTTTACTCACATTGCAGAACTTTGCTGAAAACTGGGCAATTGATGATGTCAGAGCTTTCTCATCCATTGCTTTGGAAGTTTTAGACGTAAAAACGTATAAAATAAATAGCGCTGAAAAATAAAATTATTTATACCAGTTTTTAGTAATCAATATGAAAACCCGCTTCGACGGACTACAGACCCGGAATGTTTTAATACACGATATCACATCAGTTCGCCAACGGTGTTTAACGATTCGCCACAAAAGTATCTATAGATATGAGACATGTACAAACGAAGGATGATTCATAGAGAGGCTACGTACATGATATTCTTCGAAATGAGTATGCAAATAATGTATTTACCAATTTTAGTAAAAGTCTGCATCGACAAAACTGTTGTAAGACGAATATTTTCTTAAATTATATTTATTGAATAATGTTAATAAAAAAATAAAAATAATGAATTCTTATCATAACAGTAAGTCCTATCAGTGCAATTTTATCGATATCAACAACAGCCAAACACAAAAGAGTAGGTAGGTACTTACAGCACCTGAATAAATCAAATTCTTATTCTTGAGGGGGGAGGGGGTTTAGTTGTGTACAAAGCTACTTACTTATCGCAGTTTGACGAAGCACGATCTATTTGGTCTGAGTTCTGAATTCTGAACGCAGGTCGCAGCGCAAGCAATGTCAAATGTCAAACATGTCATCGTTAGTAAAAACAGCGCCATCTATGGACAGTATTTAGCTTTTAAATTTTTGAGAACCGTTATAGAATCGCTCTTCATTGTTTTAGAAATATAGAGCATACTATTACGGATTTCGTAAGTGAAGATATTATATCGATATCGATATTTATGAAAATATAAATATCGGCCCCGATATATTGAAGAGGAAATATCGATATATCGGTTATAAAAAAAGTGTGTACTTATGAACAAAAGAAAAATAACTCTTTACTTGTGAAAAACACATTTAATGCAATTGATAACGATTTGGAATTATAGGTAAATATCAAAAAGTTGTTATATCAAAAAGATCGGATCGGCTGAAAGTATCAAAAACATCCATATATCGATACGTTTTAAACATCCCTTCATACTATCGGCCGAACATTCGTTCAAAAATCGAACTGTTAACTGATCATTCGAACGAATAACTCAATCAAACAGATTCATAAAGACAGTGAAATACTATGTAGGTACCTGGGTGACATTGAAAGTGTATAGAATTGGCTAGTTTAAATTACACTAGTACACAGAAAAGAATAAAGGTTTTTTACGTATGAAAATCTTAAAATATATTTCGATAAATATAATTTATTGAATAATAATAATAATAATAATAAAATATCTTTATTCACATAGACGCTTGCGCGTTCTTATGAAACGTCAAAATTTTACAAGAAGTTACCACCGGTTCGGAAAGCAGTTTCTGTTGAGAAGAAACCGGCAGGAAACTCAACAGTTGCTCTTTTTTAAAAAAATCAGTTTACAATATAATAGTACAGGTACAATAGTCTTGTTTTAGCCTACGTGAGTATCAACAGTATTAACCCCACACATTGGCGTCGTCAAGATATTCGGCAATAGTATAATAGGCTTTAGCCATAAGTTTACTTTTAATTTTTCGTTTAAATTCATCAAGTGGCAGCAGACTTAATATCGACTGTGGGATTTTATTATACATGCGCACACTTTGCCCCATGAACGACCTGTTTACTTTTTGTAGACGAAACAATGGCGTAGTTAGTTTGTCCTTATTTCTAGTATTTAGTTTATGTCTGTCACTATTCTTTAGATAATTTTTAATACTATGTTTAACATACAAAATATTACAATAAATATATTGAGACGCAACAGTGAGTATATTAATCTCTTTAAAAAGATCTCTGAGTGTATTCCGGGCTCCGATGTTATAAATTGCTCGGACAGCTCTTTTTTGAAGAATAAATATTGAATTTATATCAGATGCACTACCCCACAACAAAATGCCGTACGCCAAGATACTGTGAAAATAACTGTAGTAAACAAGCCTGGCAGTGTCGATGTCTGATAGCTGCCTAACCTTCCTAATTGCAAAAACAGCGGAGCTTAATCTATTCGCAAGAGATGATAGCTGGGGACTCCATTGGAGCTTTGAATCTACTGTGATTCCCAAGAATACAGCGGACTCAACAGGATTAAGGGTTACGCTATTCAATTTTAAGCTAAAACTTTGCCTTCTTACGTTGGGAAGGGCAAAAAGAAGGCATTTAGTTTTTTGAGCATTTAACACCATATTATTAATGGTAAACCAGTGGAGGATACGCGAAAGTGCACTATTCATGTCGTCAAAATTCGATACATTTCGGTCAACCTTAAAAATAAGCGATGTGTCATCAGAAAACAGTACAACATTACATAACTCACTGGCATAAAAGGGGAGATCATTTATATACACTAAGAATAATAATGGGCCCAAGATTGATCCTTGTGGGACACCCATTTTCATGGGGGACCCTGCGGAATTTACATCATTTATAGATACTTTTTGAATTCTATTACTAAGGTAAGAGGCAATGAGATTGAGGGCGATGTCACGAATGCCATAATAATCAAGCTTTTGAAGGAGGGTTTTGTGGTCCACGCAGTCGAAAGCTTTTGAAAGGTCGCAAAAAACACCTATTGCATCTTGCGACCCTTCCCAGGCGTTATAAATATGTTTGACAAGTGCGATACCCGCATCTGTTGTCGATCTGCCTTTAGTGAATCCATATTGCTCACTGTGAAAAATTTTGTTCATGTTAAAATGTATTAAGAGCTGATTTAAAATTAGTTTTTCAAAAATTTTACTCAGAGATGGCAATATGGAGATAGGTCTGTAGTTTCCTGGATCATTTTTATCCCCACTTTTGAAGACGGGGATTATCTTACTAAATTTCATAAGATCTGGAAATATTCCAGAATCTATGCAGTTGTTAAAAATATTAGCTAAATGTGGTGCAATATATGGCATTATTGTGGTCATTAATTTTATGGACATGCCCCATAAATCCCCTGTATTTTTAAGATTAATAGAATTCAAAACTTTTATAATATCATAAGTATCTACGTGATTAAATTTAAATGTGTGTGGACAATAGGTAACATTATTTCTCAAAACGTTAATTGCATCTATTGGAGATGATTTTAATGTACATGTGACATTAACTGCAATTTCTGAAAAGTAGCTTTCGAAACTACTTGCAATTTCATTATCTGATGTTATAGGAGTATTACCTATAACCAGTTTTATAGGTTCCCTGAATAACTTGGGTCTTCCAGATATACGGGTAATGATGTCCCATGTTGCTTTAATTTTATTGTTTGAATTTATTATTCTATTTCTTATATGAATAGATTTTGCTTGAATACAGACTTTTTTAAATATTTTTGAGAACATTTGTACCCTTTTATGAAAGTTGGGGTCATGATTCCACTGCCTCATATTATATAATTCATACAGTGAATTCCTACTTTTATATATACCCACTGTTGCCTAGTCACTAAATTTTAATTTTTAACAATTGTGCGCGATTTAAATGTATCATTATAAGAAGATATGAGAAAGTCAACCATTGATTTATAAGAATCATTAGGGTTATTGACTTCTTTATCCTTATTTAACATATGATGTGCCACTTTGTCTTTAAAAGAATTTATTCTATTAGTAGTGACTGGTCTACACTTGATCTTATGTTTGCTTGTAATAACTTTTTCACATATTGAAAATTTTAAACCAAAGTGGTCAGAGCTCAGATAATTTATAACATATTTATCATATACATATCGTGGCAGAAAACGTTATCTATACATGTGGAGGATGAGTTAGTGACACGAGTTGGTTTATGAAAAAGATTTTTAAGGTTAAATAAACTAAATAAATTTAAAAGTCGTTTACTAAGATGTGTCACTTGTAATAAATCCACATTAAAATCTCCACAAACTGTTACTGATTTACTACTTGAACAGAGTTTTTTAAGGCAAGGACATCATCCATTACACACTCAAACAAATCGAAATCACCTGCGGGGGGTCGATACACGTATACTATAATATACTGTTGACTCTCAACGCAGGATAATTCTATAGAACGTTCGACAGAGTGTGCTACTATATCCTGTCGATTTTTACAGACTATATCAGTTCTTACTAACACAAGAGAGCCACCGCGAATAGCATTTGCTCTTACGAACGAACTTAACAATTTATAGTTCTCTATATCTATAATATTAAAATGCTTATGTAACCACGTCTCTGTGAAGCAGATGACATGGATGTTAAATCTTCTAAGAAACAGCTCAATTTCAGGTTCTTTGCCACCTATGCCTTGTATATTTTGGTGTACAATATTTAATTTAAGTGGCTTAGGTGTTGTCCCAATGTTTACTTTAAACTAACATTGTTTTTTGTAAAATTATTTCTAAGTAAAATGTTCTTAGTTGTACAATGTACAACTGGGAATAATTAATATCTCACACCTACGGTCTTTTAAATATAGGTTGATACGCAAATATGAATCTCGTATATGAAGTTCCAGCTAAATACATCAACAAGTCCATTCTAGTTCAATTAAATATTAAGACTAGGCTCTCCACAATTTGCTATCAACTTATCGTAACTTATTTTGGTCACATCGCTCGTAGGCAGCCAGATAATTTTGAAAAACTAGTTGTAGTTGGGAAAGTGGATGGCAAAAGACCACCTGGGCGATCACCTACCCGTTGGTCTAATCAAGTGAAACTTGTAACCGGGGTTTCTGTTTCCACTGCTTTGAACAAGGCCGAAGACAGAATGGTGTGGACTGTGGAAGCAGCTCGTCGCCGATTCTCTCAAAATTTTTCAGGATGGACACGACCTTCAGTAATGAAGACCACGAAGAATGTAAAGTTCCGTATTTTTTAATTAAGAAATGTACGTAACACAATGTGGTACTTTATTTCGTAATGTCACTTTAGTTTATTAAAGGCAATGTCCCGCGTATCATCGTAGGTAAATTGAACAAACTGTAAATAGCAATTAAAAATACATAGTTCCCAGAACCATAGATGGCGTTGTTCTTA